CTCTTTTTTTTTTTCGATTGCTTGCCGCCTTCTCTTTTTTCTCGCAACCGAAAGGTGCACGCAAAGAGACGCCACAACGAACATACATATCGGCATACCTACGTGTCGGCTGACTCGGACAGAGAAAACAGGTTAGCGTGACTTGTGAATTAGAGAGAAACGTGTGCATTCGCAACAACGGCAGTGGATCGTGGACGAGGATGGATAGTTGGAGACTGGTGAGTAGGACGAGGACAGTAAGAAGGCACCGCGTTGCATTCCACGTGATCGAGAGAAGGGCACGCCTCGGCCGTCGAGTCACGCGCTCAACCACGCGTTTACTCTTACCGACACGTGCACGCAATGTGTCCGACCGGGCATTCGGTTGAATAGAGATCTTGTTATTTTACGTGTATGAAGCGCAATGACATTTCTTAAAGATTGGTCCATTATACATATCGATTTACGAAAGATATAATATTATTTCGTTGCTTCAATTTGATTGATTTTAAAAATTTAGTTTTTTCATAAGTCTTCTGTTTAAATAATTCTTCGAATTCTGTGTAATATTCTGTGTAATATCTCATTTATGCGCTGTCTTTTCAAAATTATTGATTTCGATTAAAATAATAGAAAAATGGATAAATAGCTCATACTAAAAAATTTTTTTTGAACTTTTATATCGTATATGTTAATTTAAAAAATATTATTAAGTAATTGTTGATTTTTAAAAAATTGATTCTATTATGTAGTTACATATATTGATTTTTAATTTGTCATGAGAGTATATAATATATATAGTATAAGAGTATATAGAAAGTATAATTTCAGAATTATTGTTTTTCATTAATTCTTATATTAGTATTCATATAGTTTCTTTATGTATTTTCAAATATGTTGATTCGATTTGCGAAGATTAAATTAAATTAAATTTAAATACAAAATAATAAAACGTACATTGTTTAATAAAATTTATACGATAAAAAGGAGAGAAACATTCATGGGATTCTCAGGTTCAAGTATGAAACCAGTTCGGAGTTTGTTTCTTGGGAACGTGCGGACCTATCAGGATTTCTTCACGGGAATCGAAATCTACTCAGGGTAAGAAGGGAACATGATGTAACGTCTATAATTATGTATCGGCCAGGCGAATGTTCTAATTTGCCAAGGACAAACGAGCGGACATTTCTGCGAGACGTGATTTTCAGGCGATAATCGAGGGGAAGCACCTCGATGCACTCGACGATGCAATCACCGTGACGTAATTGCTTTCACGTGCCCTCACTCGACCCTTGTGTAACGTTCTTTTTCTCTCTTCCTTTTTTCTTTTTTTTTTTTTTTTTTTTTCACCGTTCTAAAACCGTGACCACATCAATTTCACTTTATCACGTCATTATTAATTCAACGTTCTTCGGTTTTATGTAATGTGAATTACGTGTTCTTCGAGCATTACATAAAAATTAATATGAAGGGTCTAAGAAATAAATGGCATATTTCATCGATCGAAATTTCGAAAATAATAAAAATTTTAATAATGAAGTTTATATTTCGTAATTGTAATAGACAATGACCATCGAAAATATGCAAATATCGTTGAATATTCATCGACATGCATCTAGCCACAGTAGCAGTTATATTTCTAAAAATCACGTTGGGATGATAATTATTGTTTGAATAATGCATAATTTAATCTTTGTTAAAAAAAAAAAAATCCGTCAAATGCTTTAGAAAGAACTCAAATTGCTCCGTCTCGTGATAGAATTCACGGAATCAAAAATTAAAGATCTGGTTATGATAACGATACTCTATCAGACCTTTTTTTATATGAGTATGTACAACTATTCGAATGTGTATCGAAATATCGTTGTTTGAACGGTCAATTGACGAACATTAGGTTTAATAATTTCGTTTCAGAATAGGCACGAAGACTAAGCCGATTAATCCACGACACAGGACACGTAATGGTGTACCAGATCAAGAATAGCACGGAGTTGCCACAGATTGAGTTTATTTTCTCCTGAGCCGTGTAGAAAATAAGACATCTATTTTCGAATCGGTCGCGTTATGCGCGTACTCATGCATACGTCAAGTTCGTAGTTGCTTTAAAGGGAGAACGAATCAAAAAGTTTATTTTTTTATTGATACATACATAACACAATATATATTGAATATATAGATTAAAATTTCTTCAATTTGAGCATTGATTGAATACGATCATGATTATAAATAATGATATAATTTTTGTTTCGTGTAAATATAAAATTTCATTGTCTTGATTATTTTTTAAATTATTATATTTAAATAAAAAAAAAAGGAATGTATCATCGCATGATACGCAATATATGATTGAAAAATAAGAATAATCGTTGTATCTTCAATTTCCTAAAATTATAGATGCTCTGTTTACAGATTGGATCGTTCATCTTGAATTTATCCAGTAGTAAGCTAACGTTTACACAAGCATAAATGCTTATACTTTCTACGTCTGTAGACGTTCAATATCATAAAAATGTTTCGTAATGCGTAAATCTCTGCTGGCAAAAACGCATCGTTAGCTACATTCTTTTCACGCATTCACTGTAATTTTTTTTTCAATTTTAATGCAGTCGCGCGATCGCGACTAATAAACGCGTGATCACCTGCACGTGTTCAATTGTGTATGTGCATGTAATGGAAATAAGATCTGGATTCCACAGGTGACCCGCAAAACTAGAAAAGTATGTCGCTTGTAATAAAGCATAATGATCAAGATTAAAACCATTTAATTTTGCAGTCGGTTAGACACTATACTGTTTCTAGTTCTCTCCTTTTTTTTTTTATGTTCCATTGTCCGTAATAGAGTCATATAATATTACAATTTTATTTATAAAGATTGTCACCTTGTTAAATTCTACTATTATATATGTTATTTATAAAAATATGCATGGTTGGAAATTATTGCAATGCGTTTTCAAATCGCTGTGCTAATGATAGGTATATAAAATATCGATTTTAATTGTGTCAAATAAATTTATTATCCATTTTAAAAACTTGATCGTTCTAATCTAATCAAAATCATATAAAGTACATATATAAAATTTTATTCGTTTTCCATAAATGTGCTGCAATAATTCCTATAAATTCGTATTCATACGAAGTAGCATTGATGTTGAATAATTAAAATTTAATTATTCAACTATTCGTTAGATCAAAATGTCCGGAAAGATGCGATATATGTACATATATAACGTGAACGATCTAGAGAGAACGCAAACGCCACAGTATAAACACATCATCGAATCGAGCGCGAACTATCATTACCGCGTCCTCGTGTCACAGCGGAGCCTGAATACCCGTCGAGTTTGCGGCTTGTAAGTACTCTGTTTTAATCCAATCGGAGGAAAGAAGAAAGAAAGAACTCACGACGCATAGATCGTGATCGAGAACAAACAAGGACAAGCGGAATGAAACAAAAGGGTGAGGAGAGAGATAATCGATAGTTTCGAGTTAGGAGAAGGGATGCAGCCGTTGAAGAGAACCAAAGGAGAGTGATGAGGGAAAGAGAGGTAGAGCGAGCGCGTGACAGAACACGTGACCGGGAGCACACGGTGCTCGCGTGACCGGCCCCGTGACGTCACGCGCACGTGTCACATAGCGTGGTAACCGCTTATCCCTCTCTTCGTTCGACTCCGCGTCCCAACGAGCGTTCCACACCTTCCGTGCCCCTCCACACATTCACCACTCCCCGCGTTGGTCAGTAACGTCTCAAGTCCCCACTTTACCCCCTTCATCATAGACTTTCACCGAGAAAGTTATCTTTTTTTCTTACCACCCCCGCAATCTTAATACTTTTGCCTTGTTTGCTGAAATGTTATGAACAAATGTAGATTTGCATCATCGCATGGAGTCGTTACGTGACGTGACACGATCCTCCTTTAGATCAACTAAAAGAATAAAAAAAGTAGTTAGTTTCTCTTCAACGAACATTATCGAATCATATTGGACAAGATTCCAACGAAATGGAAGGGTGAAAGTGTTGCGCGCTTGAGAAATTTATTTGATTTTATCGCATGATATTGGATGATATTAGTTTAAAACACTTTAATATCGTGTTGTATGATGCTTTCGAGAATCATAAAATAATTTTATCAGTGACACGATTATTTATCATTTAAGGTACATATATTATTCGTTTTCTTATTCTCTTCAATGGAAATTTGTGATCCTTAATTTTTTATATAAAAAGAAATAAGTATACCTATTTGATACACTTAATATCAGACAGGGATACAAATTTATTTTATGTTTATACCATGATAAATACAATATACGATTTTTCATTATTATTATCAATTAATTATTATTTTCATTAATTTTCATAATTTTTGCAAGCAAGATTTTAAATCTTTATCAATGCGTTTCATTACTGTGGGTTCTATAACTTATCTTGGAACAATACTTTTATATTAAATTATGAAACAATAATCGATTTTTGAAATAAGATAATTGATAAGAAAAAAAATAAGATCGATTAAAAAAATAATGTTTAGATATAGATTAATCTTTTTTGTTTTTGTTTTTGTACAATATACAGCACTCATATCGTGAAAGTTATTTCGAGATCATCATATCGATCCACGCGTAATATTATCAACACGTGATGTACTAAGAACAAATTGTCTTATCAGAGAATTTCGCAAAGCTTTGCAAACGCATACTGATCGGTATGTTATCGTCGCTGAAAGATATCGTAGATTATGAAAAAAACTACGTAACAATTGCCCAATTACTATCTGTCATAATTTAATAACGAAGAATTACTTCGATAAGGAGATGAAAATGATGATGACAATAGTATCTGTAAACATTCATTTCGAACGAATAACAAAAATTACTGGTTAATTACATTAAAAGTTTGAGTCGCATGGTTCCGAGATCGATAGTTCCATGCCTGAGATTCTGGATCGCTCCCACCAGTGGCTTGCGTGCCACACCGCGGACCATCGCGAGAATCGAACAGGGCCGCGCATTATACGCGTAGTGTAGCCTGCTAAGGAGACGACACGCGTTTATATATATACGTTGTGATACGAACTATTCAAACAAAATCCCTTTTATTTTTGCCAATCTTAAAAATTGCAATTACGAATCTATATATGGTACGACGTATCGCGTCAATAATAAAGAGGACGCATACGATTGATCGAAAATTCAAGCGTGTATGTAACATAATTATTGGTCCAGGAGCACCGTCAAGGCCACACGTGAATCACGTGAAATTCGTATAGTGCATGTATATGCATCTAAAAAAGGGTATCTATAAGTTCTGAATACGGTGATTGCGAATAAATGCGCCATCCGTTCAATTATTAATTCTGTCAGTTAGTATATTGTGAAATTTCGCGGCCGAAAACGAGTCAACGGCCTTATCATAGTTCACGTTTATAGTTAGGTTGTGTTTCTCTGTTTTTTTTTCTAGTAATCGCCTATTTATATGGAAACGGTTTATATACGGACAGGAGATCGAGTTTAATAATTTGATCGTTATGCTTATAGGAGATCGCTGTAACGAGAGATCGATCTACGATCATCGGTTCCAAAAAAAGAAATCGAGAAGTAGGAAGAAAGACGAAGAAGAAAAGAAGAGGGCGCCAGTACAGATATATCGGTGAGTGTGACTGGACGGAAAGACGTGGGCGATTCCCAAGTACCGGCCTCCTGATCCGTCGTGTCGTTTCGAGTGTGTCAGTGAGTTTGTGGAGGCGAACCTAACCTAGTCGTCGAGTGTGCACTATCGATCAAGAAGTTGGTTTAAAGAGAATTTAATTTTTTTTTGAGAAACTGATTATGTATACGTAATTTTAAAATCAGTGCAAATACGTTTGTGCATATCGTTCAATTTCACGTTCGATCAAAGCAACTTGCTTGTTTAATATACGTGTTATAATCATAAATTGAAAAAAAAATTTCGATTCCCGGTGTGAAAACGGAAACGGATTGAGATAACAAGGTGAAGGAAAGTTAATAATAAACGAGAAGAGGAAGCAAGAGGAAGAGAAGCTAACGGTGATAGTAATTCGAAATTGGAAGTGATCGTGTTGTGCATTGGAAACGATTCTATGCGGCAAGATGATGGAGACACAGAATTATTGGGAGGATAACTCCGCTCATTCTATGCAAGTAAAATACGAGAGGTAAGTATTATAAATTAATAGTACTGATATTTTAAACAATAATTCGCAGAAATTTTTTAATTTATTAGAAAGCTTAATATATTTTTTTTTACAAAAGTGATATTAATTTTAAAATAATTACAACTTCTCAAATATTATGAAAAAAGGGTTTATTTTTACGTTATTGTTATCGTTTCGGTCATATATAATATAATAGGGCGTTATAAAGCACTTCGCACGCGACATGAATCACCGCTGCATTCTAGATTCTTTCTCAACGGCAGAGGAACGTTCCACGCTGTCGACCTTGCCGGCATTATTCAGTCTAACACCATCCAAAAATATTTACATGGATCTACCACAAGCTACGTTGAGAACGCTCATTAAGTAGGGTGAACCATTGTTCGCGTGACTCGCGTTCGTACTGGTATATTGGCAATCTTAATTATATACACGTGGAACTGTTTAAAATAAGTGATCATACAAATTTGATATTACATTATATAGATTTTTGAAAATTTATCTTATTTTAATGTATGGTTTGTTGGTTATATAAAACCATAAGCATGGACAAAGTAACACGTATTATTATGATTACACTCCTGATCATATCGCGCGATCTTGTTTAATTAAATTATTTAGATTCATGATAATAATTCTGTTTAGGTCAATTAATTTGTGTAAAATTAATTTGATCATTTTCGCGACGATATTTATATCAGAAAATCTTATAAAAACTGAATAAATAGCATCCCATTGATTTATAAGAAAGATTACTACAATCTATACATTGGATGATAGGATAACTAAACATCTTTCGTTATCATTAATATATAGGTGTCTGATTTTTCTTGCTCTCCTCTCGCTTAATCTTTCTTGCTTAACGTCCTTTTCCTGATTTTATACGATGTTGATAAGACCAATACTGATATAACTTGTCTCGTCTCGAAAGTCCATATATTGTCAAAAATTCATGGTCGCATCAAAGATAAGATAAATTACGAAGAATTGGCTCTATCGTCGGTGATTGATGTCAATTAAACGCATATACATATGAATATGGCGAGTTGTGTATGAGTGTAAGTGATTGATCGATCGTGGATTCAAATTCAAGGAGATTTAACGATCTGTGAACAGTGCGGCACAGTGAATTGAAAATCATTCATCAAACGCGATATAAAAGTAATTATAATTTCATTATACTTTATTATAATTATAATCTATAAATACTTATATATGAATACAGTATTGTACCGAAATGAGTAACAATCTTTTGACTCGAAATAAACAAATCGCTATATCCACTTTTTTTGTTTAAACATAAAATTCGAAAATATTTTAAATTATATAATGGGATGACAAACCACTTTTCTTTCAAAAATAACATCGTAGAAATCACTCGATGATTTGTCGTAATCTCAAACTTTTCGCTCGTTTTTCGTATTTTCTTTCATTCCATTAAAGAACAAAAGCAAATCGAGTAATATATTTGATGGCAAAAAATTGACCGATCCCTGAAACAATATCGTACTCGATTCTTCGCTCAAATGATATCGCAATAAGATCAATCGTTATTAAGTGTTATTTAAGAATCTATCAAGTTTTTATTAATACTTTTCACTTTGCATAAGGAAAAAAGATAGATATCGCTATATTGACAAGAGACGTAATTTGAGAAAAAAAAATATAAATTGATATTCGTAGTTTATTTTCTATTTTCTTTATCAAGGAAAGTGAAGGAAAGTAGCGTTTACGCGTATTCATGTCGCTCGTAACGAGTGACTTTCACGAGTATGTCAGCACGCTTGGTCATAACACTTGCGTGAGATCGAGAATAGACTGGAGACATAGTGTTCGTATACATGTATCGAGACGAGGGGCACGCTGACGACGCTCGCAGTAACCGGACAATTTCTTCGAGCTATAGAATACGGTTTCGCATGTTGGCCGCTTGAACCGTTGCATCGGCCATTGACACTGTAGATCGATCCGTACGGATTTATTTGAGTACCATTTATACAGCGCGTAAACGTATGCGTATTCCGTACTGCATGTGCTCGCGAACGACTTTTTTTCCTTTTGAAGATATTACATCGATTTCATTACATTTCATTACATTTCATTACATTACATCGTTTCTTGAGTTCTAGCAGAGGTGTAGTTACCGATAGTGGTTGAAATAAATCGAAATGATCGATCCAACGTTACTATTCGCAAGGCGAATACGATGAAATCATCGTTTTTTAAAACGACCTGGAATAACGGAATTGTGATATTGGATTTGAATTTGTGAGAATTTATAGATTTTAAATTTTCGCGATGAATGAACGCGAATTCTATAAATACGAACGTATGATATTATATGAAATTTGATTAATCGATTAACCAATTTCGAAAGAGCAACTTCATGCTTTTATCGAGTATACATGCAGATAAAACTATGGTCTCGATTGGCTGTATATAGATACTTTTGATAGTACGAACCATTGTGACAATGACACCTTGGTTTTGTGCCATGGAAGATCACATTAATTGACGTAATCTGAGTAAACGACTGCGTCATGGAAACTAACGCATACATACTCGAGAATGCCGTGTGTGGGCGTATATTACGTATTCGAAGATTTTGGCGATATCATGTGTACATACGCATTGCGGATGATAGAGAGTACGATAATGGTAATTTTCCCAAAGCAGATATTTTTTATAGATGTTTCGGTACTTTTATATATCTTATGTTTTATTGAAGTTATAAAATATTTCGTAGGTAATAGAGAGCGCGATTAATATAAATAATATAGAGAAATGATTAATCATATTTTATTTCATTTATAAAAATAAGACGTCTCATTATAGAATGAATTTCTCATTAGTTTGATCTTATTAAGATCAACTAAGATTTCTGGTTTTTAAATTTCTTCCACGTATTTTCATCGAAACGGCAAAAGAAAATCCTTCGATTCGCTCACTTGTAAGTTGTAACGGCCGCGTTTCTCTGCTTTCCGTCACGTAGGCACGGGTCTCTCCTGCTCGCGAGAATTCGCAAACATAGGCCTGCAATATCGATTGGATCGTTAAGATGTCTGCAAGTGTTCTATATTTATCCTAAGAATGTTATAATAATCGCACACGCGTATGATTTTCCGCAAGCTTTCCAATTTATCTTTTTCCGTTTAAGAAAAGTTGAGCGATTAAATGGATAGGTTCGAAAGGAAGATAAATTTTCGAATTTTTTTGGACTAGCACGAGATACGTATTCATTTCGTAACACGGATTTCTTGGAATGTGATGATGGAAACCGCAAAGCACCTGCATCCTCGAACAATAGCAGCGTGCATATGGAGGTCGATGCAATGGAGAAGGGGATTACATCGATCAGCGATAAATTACGGTCACAGGAGACAACGGCGTCAACCACCCGACAATGACCGTCGTTGCATTCTCGATGCAATTAATGTCTCTCTCCTTCTTACATTTATGCGTGAAACATAGATTCGATCTCATAGTTTCTGTTTCACCAGCATCTTGACACAGATAGTTTTCCCCCTTCGTGATGTCGCATATCGTGGAACAAAGCAAAAGTCCTTTCACGTATTTAAAATGCAACCAGTTGCTTTTCTCTTCACGACAAGATGTTACGATTACGTATCGTTAAAAAATCACTATCGTCATTATTACGTCGATGATAAAAGAGAAAAAATTATATTTGCACATCATAAACAACTTTTCGTCGTGTCCTTCGAATAATCACGAGTATGCACGCGTGCGAACTGGATAATGCCCGAATGGGGACATCGATCGATCGATATTTATCTTTCTCACCTTTCGATCGATCAAGTTATGCTACAAAAATGATTACGTTGATTTTGATTATTGGAACGATCGAAGATTTGTTAAATCGTATCATCAACTAATCGTATTTTCGATTCTTATTTTCTTCACGCTCCTCTGAATGTGATTTTCAACATGATGTAGATAATACGTTTGAACGCTTGTGAAGAACGCTAGGTGGAAAATTTCGACGATAAAGCGGTAAGTGTCTGTGATAAGGTTTGACGAATGGTGCGCGAAGTTCATGGTACAATTCCTTCTCTTCTTTATGAAAATTCCGTTCCGCTAACGACTCGTCCATTAATTCCTTTTTATTGGCAATCGAATTGCTGTGGTCGGCATAATTCCCGAGGGACGTTCAGTGTCGTTGAAGAAAAAGTGAGAGTTACCTTGGCAATTCCATCGTTGATCGACCGTGTGCGTTTTCATAGGTGTGCGCCTCGGGAAGGTCGGAGGGGGGAGGGGGAGGAATGACTCCCCGCCCGATCAATGTGTGTATGCACGTGTATAAGCGAGCGTGGTAAATAAGCCAGCGATTTGATTAGCGGTAGTGAGATGACTCGTTGTGAAAAACTTTGAATTATTGTGTCAGAAACGAAAGATAAACGTTGCTCGTAGAATACTCGTCCAATTTGAACTCGTACCTTCTTAGAACAGAACAAAGTACTTTACTGACCGATCAAATCTTTAATTCGAAAAAATTGCAAATTTTCTACAAAAGGAGAAATCGTTTGGTATGGTGATTGAACGATGTTCAATTTATTTCTTTTTCATCTTTATGTGTGATTCATTCCCATGATTATTTTTCTTTAAAAATAATCGTTTGAACGAACGATTTCGTATCGTAATTCTACATCATTCTTTTTCTCCAGTCCGATATTGGTCGTTTTCGATGTTTCGAATTACGATCCGAACAAGTCAAGGTTCAACTCGAGAAATCGAGGTCGGTACGAACAGATTTAACCACACCGGTGAAACTATTTGTAGGATTATGAAATGTAGTTCGTGGCCGTTTCTCGCGGGATAACGAGTTGTTTTGTATCTGTGGCAACGTGTCATTTCTCATAATCTCTTTGATCGCTTATTAATTTTCGATTCCATCATTCTCGATTCGTGCGATCTCATACGTCTCGATTTCTTTGCGCTCAACAAACTTTATGATACTCGGAACGACGAGTTTGCGCCAGAAT